GCAGCTCTGTCTTGGTTGCAGCTGGAGCCCCAGTCTCTACATCGAAACACTCGGCATCAGGAGGGTACACGGAAGTTTCCCTGGGCGGGAATGTCCTCCCAGGAGCCGAGCCCTGTCCATGTAGGTCCTCCTGGGGTCAGCTTAGCCTTTATGGACACTGGAGCAAACATTACCCAACCTCCCATTTGTCAAACTCCACTCCATCTCAAGGCAGAACTGGACCACAAACAAACCCTCCCCAAGTCCTAGCTGATGGTCTGTGTCTTCCCAGGCCCCCAGGCGTCCTGAGCGCTGGAGTCCGTGAGCTCTGCCCTCAGCAGCTCCACTTCTCACAGCGGCCTCTCCCTGCTCCGGACATCTCCCAGCAGATGTTGACTGTTGTCCAGCATGTCCTGCTGCCTCTAGGGCTTCTAGGCAACAGATGGCAGAAGGGCGCCAGTGCTGGCAGTTGGGTGAGTGACCTCAGGGCGCACAAAGGGAACTCAGGGAGATGGGACTTGGGAGGCTCTCCAGTGCTGGCAGGCTCTGTGCAGAGGCCCTGACGGCGGAGTGAGTGATGCCGGCTTCCCTCCTTTTAGGACTTCCTTCCAGCCAGGCACTGGTGGAGTCTCATTTCGTCCTCCCAATGGCCCAATTAATTACTAGTTACCCTCTGTTACTGAGGAGGAAGCCATTCTCATCCAGCCCATGGGCCAGCAGGTCACCTCTGACTTTAAGAAACTCTACACGAAGGCGCTGTTTCAGAGGTGTTTGGAGGTGACCTCTGAAACGCTCCTGACCCTCGGCGAGTTCTGGGAGGAACATTTTCACATCCTCGCTTGCTTGAGGCTCAGACGAAGTGTGGGGGGCAGTGCGTTCCGGGACCCTGCGGGAGGCCGGGAGAAGCTGTGGCCCACGTCTGTTGCCCAAGAGCCTGTGAGGGTGAGCCCGGGTCTGTGTGGAGGACACTGTGTCTGGGCAGGTCCGTGGGCTTGGAGGTGGGTGGTGCTGATGTGGAGGAGTTGGCGGAGGGCCGCGGCACTGAGCTGACCACCGAGGAGCCCCCGGACCTTCAGAGGGAGCAGCAACAGCCGGCAGCTGAGGGCGCTCTTCAGAGGAGGGAGGGAGGCTATTCCCACTTCGCCGATCAGGGGATGCTTGGGAAATGGGGAGAGATGCAGAGTTTCACTGGGAAATATCACCCTGACAGAGGTAGCAAACTGAGCAATACATTTGTTCAATGACAGTGCCGTGTGGCACTTCCGGCAAGGGTTAAACCGCAGGCAAAAGCAACCTCTGGGTAGGTTCTTAGTGAGACAGAGGCCCAGCGAGCCTGAGGCACGTTCTAGTGGAGCAAAGAGACGAAAGAGGAAGAACCCCAGGATAGCCACCTGACGTTTTTATGGACGGAGCTCCCCTTCCAAACAAGAACACCATCCTCGACATGCAGTCCTCAGTCGCTCTCAGTGTTAAATTCGTGTCTGTAAATTTCCATTTTTACTGTACATTCACTTTTGTTTTTATATAAATTTAAATATATTTTTATTGATTTCAGAGGGAGAGGAATAGAAATAGAAATATGAGGCAGAATCATTGATTGGTTGCTTCCTGCACAGCCTCTCCTGGGGATTTGAGCCTGCAACCAGGGCATGTGCCTTTGACGAGAATCGAACCCAGAACCCTTCAGCCTGCAGGCTGATGATCCATCCACTGACCCAAACTGGCTAGGGCCCTTTTTAAAAAATATATTTTATTGATTTTTTAAAGAGGAAGGGAGGATAGAATTAGAAACATCGATGAGAAACATCAACCAACTGCTTCCTACAACCGCCCCGCCGCCCCCTACCGGGATGTGCCCGCAACCAAGGTACATGCCCTTGACCTGAATCGAACCTGGGACCTTTCAGTCCTCAGGCTGACGCTCTATCCATGGGGCCAAACCAGTTTCAGCTAGGCACTGCATTCTTCTTTGTGATTTCTCTAATCTCTGCCTAGGTCTTTGTCACTTTGACCGATAGACACATTACACAATGTGCTACAAGTTGTAGGATTCACTGAAGTTTAAGATCCTCTACAATTTTATTTATTTTTAAAATATATTTTATTGATTTTGTACAGAGAGGAAGGGAGATAGTTAGAAAGGTCGATGAGAGTCATCGATCAGCTGCCTCTTGCACACCCCCCACTGGGGATATGCCCGCAACCGAGGTACATGCCCTTGACTGGAATCGAACCCGGGTCCTCCACCACAGACCCGGGCTCATCCTCACAGGCTCTGTGGGCAATAGAGCCCCCAAGCCGACGCTCTATCCATTGAGCCAAACCGGTTTCAGCAATCCTCTACAATTTTAAATGGAGGCACTTAATGAAGTGGAATGCTAAGTGGGGCGATAGAGAGGACTCCCCTGCACCTGAGAACAGTTTCACAGAGGCTTTGAGCTGTGCAATGGGACTAACATTTATTTGGGTCCTCTCTGTACCACTCCGACTACAGCTGTGCTCAATATGATATATCACAGTAAGAGATTGGGTCTGTGGAAAAGCCAGCCCTGTTCAGCAAAGCTTATGCTATTTCTACTATACCAAAGTGTTCCAAACTTAGGTATAACTTACCTGCAGAAAATTGCACAAAACTAATCAATTCTTTTACTGACGAGAAATTCACACAAAATTAACCCTTTTAGAGAACAAGCCAACAGCATTTAGTACATTCACAACATGCACCCCAAGTGTCTAATTCCCAAGCATGCTCACCACGCCACATAAGCCTGGTGCCCATGAGCAGTCACTCTCCATCTACCCGCCCTTCAGCACCTGCAACCACCAATCTACTCTTTTTTTAAAAACACATTATTTTTATTGATTTCAGAGAGGAAGAAATAGAAACATCAATGAAGAGAATTATTGGTCAGCTGCCTACTGAACACCCCACACCGGGAATTGAGCCTGCAACCTGGGGATGTGCCCTGACCAGGAATTGAACCGGGACCTCCTGGGTCATAGGCTGATGCTCAACCACTAAGTCACACTGGCCAGATACCACCAATCTACTATTTATCTTCATAGATTTATCTATTCTGGGTATTTTCTAAGTGGAATCAGACAATGTGACCTTTTGTTGGGCTTCTTTTGCATAGCATGCTTTGAAGGTTCATCCTCAAAGCACTATGGTATAAGTCAGTATTTCATTCATTTAATATATTTTATTGGTTTTACAGAGAGGAATTGAGTTAGAAACATCGATGAGAAACATTGACCAGCTGCCTCCCACACACCCTCCACTGGGGATGTGCCTGAAATCAAGGTACGTGCCCTTGACCGGAATCGAACCCGGGACTTTTAGTCCGCAGGCTGATGCTCTATCCACTGAGCCAAACTGGTTTCGGCAGTATTTCATTTTTTTCATAGCTGAATAATAATCCATTGTATGGGTATGCCACAATTTGGAACATCTGTTTTTATTTTTTGGCTCTTATGAAAAGAGTTTATATGAACATTTGTGTACAAGTATTTGTGAACATCTATTTTAATTCAGGTAAATTCCTACAAGTGAGATTGCTGGGTCATTTGGCAATTATATGTTTAACTTTTTCTTTTTAAAAAAATATATTTTATTGCCGGCACCGGTTTGGCTCAGTGGTAGAGCGTCGGTCTGCGGACTGAAAGGTCCCAGGTTCGATTCCGGTCAAGGGCATGTACCTTGGTTGCAGGCACATCCCCAGTAGGGGGTGTGCAAGAGGCAGCCGGTCGATGATTCTCTCTCATCGACATTTCTAGCTCTCTATCCCTCTCTCTTCCTCTCTGTGAAAAATCAATAAAAATATATTAAAAAAAAAAATAAAAAAATATATTTTATTGATTTTATACAGGGAGGAAGAGAGAGAGAGATAGTTAGAAACATCGATGAAAGAGAATCATCGATCAGAGCTGCCTCTTGCACACCCCCTACTGGAGATGTGCCCGCAACCAAGGTACATGCCCTTGACCAGAATCGAACCCGGGACCTTTCAGTCCCCAAGCCGATGCTCTATCCACTGAGCCAAACTGGTTTCGGCAATATATGTTTAACTTTTTGAGAAACCATCAAACTGTTTACCACAATGGCTAAACCATTCTATTTTCCTGCCAGCAATATATAAAGGTTCCAATTTCTCCATATCCTTGTACTCAACTTTTTAAACTTAAATTTAAGGACTGCCATATTAAAAAAATAACAACCGCTCTACCCTGGCCAGATGGCTCAGTTGGTTGGAGTGTTGTCTTGTACACCAAAAGGTTGTGGGTTCACATCTCCCGCCGCCACCCCCCCCCCCACCCCAGGTTGGGATGTACAGATCAATGTTTCTCTCTCACATAGATGTTTTCTCTCTCTCTCAAACCAATAGAAACACATATCCTTGGGTGAGGATAAGAAACAAAAACAAAAAACTGCCCTACACCATAAGGCACAGAGTGATTATTTATTTATCATAAAGTTTAAGCCCAAGCTCTAATTTGATAAATACTGGAAAAGCAGGCCTGAAAAAGTGCAGAGACTTGCTCAAAGTCCAAGCTAAAGGATTTTCTAACAAGATAGGGCCAGGAGAGAGGAAATATTTTCATAGCATTCCATAACTCCAACCTCAAGCTTACTCACTCCAAGCATCCCTTCAAGTTTCTGGCATTGACATTATTTCCACTATGCTTTGGAGGAAAAGGAAGAATTCCAATAACAAAGAAAATGTGAGCTGGCTTCCAAATGGGAGGCAGGACACTGCACAGCAAGTGCATCAGACCACTTAAAGATGAGCGACACTAGATTATCTGAGCAACTTTAAACGGCCATTTAAGAAAATCTGTGGCTCCCAATCTCCCTATCTTTGTTTTCCCATAAGCCTTTCAACCCCACCCTTGTTTCCAGACAAATCAGATCAGTACACCCCAATCCTTCGTAAGCCCTAAGTCTTTCTCCCAATATTTTCTGTTTATTGGTCTGGGAAGAAAGAGGGTACGGGGTGGGATTTTCAGGGGCAGGACATTTCTTAAGTGGAGAGAACAAAGGCGTCTGGGTTGGCTTCCTGCTTCAGCACTCCTGTCAGCAGGAACTCAGGTGAGACGACGGGCAGCCCAACCTGAAACGGTATGGTGCATCGCGGGGCGTCCTGGGAGCATGTGATCACGACTCTGCGAGGCTGGGAGGACAGAGAGCAGAGGCAGAGAGTCAGGGACAAGAGCCCTGAAGTAGGGCTAGGACCACTCAGCAGTCCAGGCATCACCAAGACAGGAACTCGGGACACGATGCCACATGAAGTATACTACGTTTGTGACATGGTCTTGCCAGAAATGTGGCAGCTGAATTTATTCAAGCTTTTAAAACAAATTATAGTTTACATGAGCTATAGAAGATAGAAACTAAGGTGAGTGGTACAACCAGGCAGCAAACAGAAGAATCCAGCCTGAGGAACATTCTAAAGGACAACTGACCTACTTCCTGCAGAAAGTCAATGGTATAAAAGGCAGAGCGGGGCCAGTTTGGTTAGAGCGTCGGTCCGAGGACCAAAGAGTCTCAGGTTTGATTCCCAGTCAAGGGCACGTACATTGATTGTGGTTCAATCCCTGGCCCTGGTTGGGGTTCATTCAGGAGGCAACCGATTGATGTGTCATCAATGTTTCTCTCTCTCTCTCTCTCTCTCTTTCTCTCTCTCTCTCTCTCTCTCTCTCTCCACTTCCCTCCTTCCACTCAATGGAAAAAATAGCCTCCAGTGAGAAATTAAAAAAAAAAAAAAAAGGCTGAGCTGATGTGGCTCAGTGATTGATCACTGACCTGAGTGTTGACCTATTCAATTCCTGGTCAGGGAACATGCTGGCTCAATTCCCAGTGTAGGGCATGCAGGAGGCAGCCAATTGATGATTCGCTCTAAAAAAATAAGCTATTGCACTACTCCAGGAAATTATAAAAAATTAAAAAAGAAAAATCAATAAAAAGATAATTTAAAAAATAAAGTGCAAATTAAAACAAATTCCAGCCGAAACCGGTTTGGCTCAGTGGATAGAGCGTCGGCCTGTGGACTGAAGGGTCCCAGGTTCGATTCCGGTCAAGGGCATGTTGCGGGCACATCCCCAGTAGAGGGTGTGCAAGAGGCAGCTGATCGATGATTCTCTCTCATCGATGTTTCTAACTCTCTATCCCTCTCTCTTCCTCTCTGTAAAAAATCAATAAAATATATTTAAAAAAACAACAACAAACCAATAAAACAAATTCCAGTTGGTATCAGCAGAGCTCTCTGCCATTTCTATATCCCTCCTTCTTAAAAAAAAAAAAGTATTATTGATTTCAGAGAGGAAGGGAGAGGGAAAAATAGAGAGAAACATCAATGATAAGAATCATCGATTGGCTGCCTCCTGTATGCGCCATACTGGGGACTGAGCCTGCAACTCAGGAATATGCCCTGACTGGGAATTGAACCGTGACCTGGTTTATAGGTCAATGCTCAACCACTGAGCCACACTGGCTGGGCTCCTTTCTGTACCATAGGTCTTCCCCCAACCCTCTCACTACAGTGCTCCAATCTGCAACTGCTCAGATGCAGACCCCCCGCCCCCCATACCTTGTAGGACCGGGGCATGCTGGGTAGGACAGTGCCTCCACAGCAGCGGATGATCTCTCCCATCTGAGGTGGTGGTGGCTGGACTCCGGGGGTCACATGAATCTCATAGCCCTAGGAGGAAGGACATGGTGGAGACGGTGGAGAGCTGCGCCGAGGCCATGCATTGCGGGAAACTTCTGGAGGGAGGGCTAGAGCATGCAGAGGAAGACAGTCCCTCACCTCTAGCAGCCTTTGCACACGAGCCCGGCTCAGGGAATCACGGAGGCTGAAGCCAAAGTTCCTTTCCTGCTCGGGATCAGTCACCATATATTCATCCGGGGACAAGAAGCAACCGGCCTTGAGGGACTAAGGGTGGCACAGTCAGAATCAAAGCACAGGCCTGTCGTCACCAGCTCTGCTGCCTAGCAGTTACAGGGGCTCACAAAGCGTTTCTGAAGAGGCTTCCGCTCATTCACCCTGGTCTTCCTGCACCCCTCTTCCTCCCGCCACTTTCTCTATTGGTCTGCCCCATCTCTGGCCTCTCTCACCTGGTACAGCCAGTCCAGGGAGAGGATAGGGATCCCCCGCCCTAGGGCACACAGGAACTTGACTGTCCGGCAGATTCGATCAGTCACCAGGTGGGATGCCTCTGCCACTGAGCTGGCCAGACTCCCTCCGAGGGTCAGCACTGCCTGCTCTCCCCGGGCATCCACCACTCCTGTGAAGAGCACCTGCGGAGGGCACGGGCCTGATTGGCCACACGAGCCTTGCACCAGAGCCTGTCTCCCAAGCCCGTCTCCGCCCGCCCCCACATCTGCTCCGCGAAGCCCAGGCCTCCTCTCCTACTTTGGGGGCTGCGGACTCGTGGTCAGGTTTGGTCCGTCGGAGGCTGCGGACTGGCATTCCTTTGGGCTCTTCCTCAGCCTGGTCTTTCTTTCTCTTGCCTGGTCCTGGCATCACCACATCCTGGGAATGAGAAGGATCCTGGTGGGAACTTATGAGCCCCCAGCCCCTTCCCAGCTCGCGGCCCCAGCCTTCTCCTCACCTCTTCCTGCCCTGGCTTCTCTTCCTCTTCTTCCTTGAGGAACACTGTTTTCTGAGGGACTTCTCTTCGCAGCCGTTTTGGAAGTGGGGGTGAATCCACGGTATCTGAAGGCCTCTTGTGGTTTTGAAAGGCCTTACGCTGGGACTCTGGGCTGAACTCATATCCACCTGTTGCCTCTACCTTTTGAACCTGGAGAGCATGAGTGGGTGCCCCAGGAAGCTGGGCAAGGGCAGGCTCAGGAATGGTCTTAAGGGACTTGGTTGCTCTCATTGCTCCTCGCCTTTGGCTCCGTGAGGACCAGGCATTAGGTTCAAGGGGTGCAGAGCAGGGTTCACAGACAATGGGAGCTGCGAGGGGCTGCCTAGCAACCCTTGGCCTCCTGCTACAATTGGCTTGAGGGATGGCCTCTGGGGGACTAGGCTTGTCTGTGGGGAAAGGAGACTGGAATTCAGGAGCAGTAGGAACTGGCACAGTACTTCTTGTAGACCTCAGTGTCCTGCTCTGACCACCCTGAGCTATGGCCTTGGGGGTGACAGGCTGGTCTGTAGGGGCTGGAGGTTTAAGTTCAGGGACTGTGGGGACAGTTGGTTCAGGGGTCTTGACAGAGGCCCTGTGTGTCCTGCCCCGAGTGGCCTGAGATGTGGGCTCAGGGAGGACAGGTTGATCTGCAGGGGCCGGAGGTTCAAGGTCAGGGGCTGTGGGGACAGGTTCAGGGGTCTTGACAGAGGCCCTGTGTGTCCTGCTCCGAGTGGCCCGAGGTGTGGGTACAGGGGTGACAAGCTGCTCTGCAGGGGCCGGAGGTTCAAGGTCAGGGGCTGTGGGAACAGTCGGTTCAGGGGTCTTGACAGAGGCCCTGTGTGTCCTGCCCCGAGTGGCCTGAGGTGTGGGTACAGGGGTGACAGGCTGCTCTGCAGGGGCCGGAGGTTCAAGGTCAGGAGCTGTGGGGACAGTTGGTTCAGGGGTCTTGACAGAGGCCCTGTGTGTCCTGCTCCGAGTGGCCCGAGGTGTGGGTACAGGGGTGACAGGCTGCTCTGCAGGGGCCGGAGGTTCAAGGTCAGGGGCTGTGGGGATAGTCGGTTCAGGGGTCTTGACAGAGGCCCTGTACGTCCTGCTCCGAGTGGCCTGAGGTGTGGGTACAGGGGTGACAGGCTGCTCTCTGGAGGTGACAGGCTGCTCTGCAGGGGCCGGAGGTTCAAGGTCAGGGGCTGTGGGGACAGTCGGTTCCGGGGTCTTGACAGAGGCCCTGTGTGTCCTGCCCCGAGTGGCCCGAGGTGTGGGTGCAGGGGTGACAGGCTGCTCTGCAGGGGCCGGAGGTTCAAGGTCAGGGGCTGTGGGGACAGTCGGTTCAGGGGTCTTGACAGAGGCCCTGTGTGTCCTGCTCCGAGTGGCCTGAGGTGTGGGTGCAGGGGTGTCAGGCTGCTCTGCAGGGGCCGGAGGTTCAAGGTCAGGGGCTGTGGGGATAGTCGGTTCAGGGGTCTTGACAAAGGCCCTGTATGTCCTGCTCCGAGTGGCCCGAGGTGTGGGTACAGGGGTGACAGGCTGCTCTGCAGGGGCCGGAGGTTCAAGGTCAGGGGCTGTGGGGACAGTCGGTTCAAGGGTCTTGACAGAGGCCCTGTGTGTCCTGCCCCGAGTGGCCCGAGATTTGGGTGCAGGAGTGACAGGCTGCTCTCTGGAGGTGAGAGGGTAGACCCCAGGGGCTATAGAAGAAGCTGGAGAAGATGTCATCCTGGAACAACCCTGGGACCTGCATTTGGGTTTTGCATGAAGAGGGTCCAGCTTTGAGGACAAGGGATTCTCCAGAGCTTCCTGACTCCCATTTTGCCTGGAGCTGGGAATGGGGGACTCTAAAGAAGGTGGAGATGGAGCAAAGAGGGGCTGAGAAGCAAGATGTTTTTGGCTCTGAGGGATGAGGGGGTTTTGGACTGGAGCTGAGGCTTCAGGGACTGCTGGAGGCAGACAAACATCTAGGGATCCTGGGTCACCCTGGGGAGAAATAGAGCAAGTGAGGGAGGGAGAGACAGAAGGAGGAGAGACAGGACTGGACACTGTTCTCGATATTCGTTACAGTGAAAGTATGCTCACTGACATTTCTCTTTCTGTCTCTGACTATCTCCCATTAAACTGGGACTTCTCCCCAAGACTTCTCCCCATAAGGCCAGGACAGTGCTATCAATATATGGATGGTGGGTGGGTGGGAAAAGAGGGAAGGGACATGAAGAAAGGGATGTTCTTTCCGAGTCAGGTAGAGGGAAACAGCTGGGAACAGAGAGATGGGAAACAATGTGTGCCAACATTAAGGGCCAGAAACCAACTGAAGAGTGGTGGGAATGACCACAGAGAAGACAGGGAAGAGCAGGTGAAGCAAGGCAGGGAAGGGGCAGTGAGGGAAGGTAGAAAAAGCAGCTCTCACCCTAGAAGCCTTCTCAGCAGGTGACATCTTGCAGTTCAGGAGGCCTAGACAGAAAGTACAGACAATGTGGCTGAGTCCAAGCAGGCAGTTACTTAGGGGTTATCATGAGGCTTTGTTAACACCCGGGTCTTACACTCTCAGCCTTCACTTACCTCTCTGCCTCCTGGGACTTACCGTCCTCCACCTGACTGGCTCCTAGACGCTATCAGGGCTAACGCTAGCCCACAAGGTCCCCTGCCCCTTCTTCAGGGTCCAGTGTTGAACTGGAGGCCTGCCCTTTCTGGTCCTGGCTCCCTCTGTGCGCCTCCTTCCAGTATTACTTTGGGTATGTTGACTTCTAACCTACCTGGCTCACAATCTCTCCCTAGTGCTGGTTTCTCAGCTTCCTTCTCAAATACTTCTCTTGTAAGAGTCTGCTTTCCCAGCTTGTGTAGTTCCTTGGGTGTCTCCATTTCTATCTTCAAGCTCTCCCTATCCCTTTCCATACTTGCCCTTCACACAGTCTTAGGGGACTCCTATCTCTGAATGCCTAGCTACCACTTTTTGTTTCCTGTCCTTCATCACCCTGGTTAATTCTTCTTCTCTTCATCCTTCTGGTGGCAGTTTACTTTCCCTCTCTGATGGTCCTCTCTCCGGGGTCACCCTCCCTGCTGCTTCTCTTGGTGTATCCATGCCTTTCTCCGCAGTCTGCATCCCTCCGCCTCGGATCCCCAATGGCTCTGCGCGAACTGGACTTTCCAGATGCTGGTCTTGAGGTGTTGGCCTGGGTGAAAAGGGGCAAGATCCATGGGTCTCAAGATGGGAAGTGATGGGCTGGATCTCAGAGGCCTCAGATTCTCTTAGACAGAATGGCTGTGTAGCCAAGACTTCCCAAGGCTCATCCAGGGCACCTGGAAGTAGTCAGAGAGAGTCAGAGTCAGATTCAATCTATATGGGCTATTTTAAAAAAGCTACGAGTAAGGAGGATAGTTGTAATCTTTAATGCTTGTTTCAAAAAGTGAGACCATACTTCATGTACAAGCTCTCACAGCAGCCTCTTAAAAACTATGCTACAGAACGCTTTAGTTTTCTAGTTTGGTCTTTTGCTAAGATCAAGTGTAAAAGTTATGCTAGCCAAGTTGCTCTATAGGTCTAACTGAATAGTACCCCTTTTCCCTAATAAGATGGAGAAACATCAACAACATAGTAAAATATGAAAGAAACATGTATAGGAAGAAAACAGGAGGCAAAGTTAGAGGCAGAGGAAGTGAGTTTCTTATACCTGAGGCCTGGAAGCTGCAATGGGAAGGGCTAGGCTCTTGGGGTGGAGTACACAGGAAGGCCTGGGTGGGCTCATCCTCCATGCTCGGGACTGCTGCACAGGAAAAGGTGTCCTAAGCACAGATCCTCTGCATATCCCCAGGCCATTCTCCGTCTCCTGCCTGTGCTGGACGCACACCCTAACGGACCACCAGTGTAATCTCCCTGCTCCTGCTGTGTACAGCCCCCCCCATGACACAAATGCCCTCACCTTCCAGGCTCTGACTCTCCCTCTCCACAAAGCACTGGGTCGCTTGTTGGTCTAGATCTTCAGAATCTGGTGGTGGAGAAATACAGAATAAAAAATTCTATCTGACCCATGATGTCTTACTTTTTCTCTACAATTCTCTCCCCAACCCAAATCCCTATGCAACAGACTGAATGTCTATGTCCCACCCCACTTTTTTTTCCTTCTTTTTTTGTCAATCCTCATCCAAGGATATTTTTCTATTGATTTATATTTATTTTTTAAAATATATTTTATTGATTTTTTACAGAGAGGAAGGGAGAGACATAGAAAGTCAGAAACATCGATGACAGAGAAACACCAATCAGCTGCCTCCTACACCCCCCCCACCGGGGATGTGCCCGAAACCAAAGTACATGCCTTGACTGGTATCGAACCTGGGACCTTTGAGTCCGCAGGCCGATGCTCTACCCACTGAACCAAACCGGTTTCGGCTTTCCATTGATTTTTAGAGAGTGGAAGGGAGCGGGAGAGACAGAAACATCAGAGAGACACATTGATTGGTTGCCTCCCACATAAGCTCTAACCAGGGCAGGAGATTTAGCCTACAACTTAAGTACGTGCCCTTAATCGAACCAAGAACCCTTCAATCCACAGGCTGACACTCTAGTTACTGAGCCAAACTGGCTATGATCCACATTTTTTAACTAACACACACACACCATCAGAACTTTCATTAGTACTTATTTTATGCTGAATTTACTCTTGGGTCTTACATTTTGTTTCTTCACTTTCTTCTGGGACATCTTTTTCTTTTGTGCAATCTCCTTTTCAGGTTTAGGAATAATCTGGTCCTTTTCAGTACAGTCACCTCCAGGTGGCAGGGAGAGCTCATGTGGGGGGTAATCTGCCATGAGCTCTGCAAATTCTATGCCACATCTTGGGGACTTTGTTCACTTGGATGTGCTCAGTGACCAAAGACTCTACATCTAAACGCTTAAGCTAAGCTCTCTGCATTTTAAGCATGGGTAACAAAAGTTCAGCACTTTTTTTGGCCACTGACTCTGTGTCTAGCACCACTGTTTGGCCTGGGCATACCTACCAGCCCAGGTAGGTATTGTAACAATGGAATGATACCTATTGCTTCTGCAAAGTGATATCCTCAGATACTTGGTGACTTTTTAGACATGTATACCCTGATGGCCTGGGCAGTTTCACAAGTGTTCTTAAAGTAAATACAAGATTTAAACCTCTTGATTTACATGACTTTGTGGGTTTTTTTTTGAACAGTGAGCCATTTTCAGAGGTCACATTTGGCCATTTTTGGAAAGAGTCCACCCCACATTCTTATTTCTAATGTGGGTGGAGTCTGCTTTCCCAGCTTGAGGAGAGGTAGAGAAAGCAGCTCTCACCCTAGAAGAGTTTGTCTCAATATCCCCATGAGATAGTACTAGAAGGCAGGGGCCTTGGGAAGTGACTAGGTCCTCAGGGTGGAGCCCCCATGAATGAGATTAGTGCCCTTATAAGAGACCCCAAAGAGCACCCTTGTGCTCTTCTGCCAGTTAAGGACATGGAGAAAAGTGGGCCATTTATGAACAAGGAAGCAAGCCCACAGCACACACTAAATCTGCTGGTGCCTTGACCTTAGACTTTCCGGCCTTTAGAGGCATGTTACAAGCCATCCACTCTCGCATTTTGTTACAGCAGCTTGAACGGATTAAATCTCCACGTAAGTTTTCTTTCTCTCAAAGATCAAGCCCGGAGAGCAGGCCAGCACTTACCATCATGGCTGTGTCCAGAGTTCTTGGTCATGTCCACATGTGGTTCTCCCCCACTTTCTCTGGGGGTCGGGGCTTCCTTTCTCTGTGCCTGGGTAGGTTCCCCTGCAGTACCTGTGTCTACCAAGAGATCTGTTAGGTTCTCCCTTGAGACAAGGAGATGGTCCTGCCCCACTTGTGCCAAACGTGACCCATCCTGGGCTGCTGCCTCAAAAGCTCTCTCCTGCTAAAGGATAGGAATAACCCACTCTGTCCCAGCATCCTCTTTTTCCTTACACCTGCCACTCCGGAGGCTGCTAAGGACGCACCCTCCTCAGCATGTTCCATAGCACCCACCTGGAGGAGGCGGGGCTTCCTCTAGGCGCACGGCAGGCAGTTTTGCTGGGCCCCCTTCTGCTTCCACGTTTGTTGGATTTGTGCATGCCAGAGGCACCTCATGCTTCTCTGGCAGTGTGACAGCTGGCCCCGGGGACACTTCCTCTTCCACTTGTGTGTTGATGCCTACTGTGGCAGAGGCCTGACTTCTCCCCAGGACTCCAGGTGAACTCTTATCTTCTTCCACTTCTCTGTCACTGTCCCCAAAAGAAGATTGGCTCTTTTCTGTCTGAACTTTGTCTGTGTGACTCTTGGGGACATATTCTCTCTTTTCCACTGGGAACCCCTCCACCTCTATGTCTGTGCCACTGTCTCTGCCAGCAGAGGTTTGGCTCTGCTCAAGAAAAGCCAGAGGTTGGGCTCTGTCCTCTTCCACATTTTTATCTCTGTTCCAGCCAGTGGCTCGGCTCTCCACCAGAGATGCCAAAGTGAGTGCTGCTGACACTCCTTCCTCGTCATCTACGTTGCTGTGGCTCACCATGGAGGCTTGGCTTCGCTCCCGAGGGACCGTGAGTGGGGCCTCAGCCTCCTCCACATCTGTCTCATTGCCAGCCGGACTTTCGTGAAGATGTGCCAGGTCAGGCCCCCCAGAACTCTCTGCCTTAACTCCGTGGAAGATCTGCCTTCTTTTCAGGGGCACCACAGCTGGGGTTGTGGGAATCCCCTCTTCTTCCACGTCAGTATCACTGTCTATGAAGCCAGAAGGCTGGGACCTTTCCAGATGACCCTCAGCTGGCTTTCCTGGAGGCATGATCTCATCATCCACATCTGTCTCACTGTCCTCCCCAATAGGCTGGCCCCTCTCCAGAATCACCCCATTGCTTGCATCTCTCTTGACTCTGATGTTACTATTGCTCTCCTGTCCCAAAGACTGATCCTTTTCAACCTGGATTTCTGTTCTGACGGCCTTAGGCTGTTCTGTCTCTGCAGTAGCATCTCTTGTGGCAGCTGAGGAGGCCCACCCTGTTGCTGGTTGCTGCCTTTCTTCCTCATCTGTGTCGCTGTCAAAGTTGATGGCATAAGGTGGTCCAGGGCCATCTGGGACAGAAGGTCCCTCTTCATCACTATACAGGGAAGAGAAGAGTTTATAGAATCATTTCCTAGGAAGGGATACCTGATTCAACTGTGAGCTCCTAGAGAGCAGAAACAAGGTAGTATTTGTTTTTCTATCTCCAGCAATTAGTTCTCCACTTGGAACATCAAAGGTGCTCAGTGTAAACTCAGTTAATGAAAGAATATGTGTAGCTCCCCAACCCTCATTTCCATGATGATTCTCTCTTACAGATGGATCCTTCAGTCTCAGGTTCCTTCTCTTTCTGAAGACTCAGGTGTTTGGCCCTCAACACTCACCTCTCTGGAACGACTGTTGCCAAAAGGGAGGACATGGTCCTTGGTTCATTCACCACACACCTTTCAGAAAGAGGATCTGCCAAGAGCAGAAAGAAGGTGACAGTTTCACATTTACCATCCAAGTCTCCTTGCCCACCCTCCCAACACATACACTTACCTACTTCCTCTTCTGAGTCCTCAGCCAATAGGATCCCCCAGGGTTGAGTTCCTCTCTGTACCCTGGGTGTCTCCTCTACAGTTAGGGGGCCCCGGGAGAAAAAGGGCAGAGAGACATCCAGACGATGGTACTGGCAGGGCAAGTCAGCAAAGACAACCAACTCCTGGTCCCTCAGACGATGACTCACCCCAGGGCTCAGGAACTTAGGAGGCCTCAGGATTTGCGTACCATTGAGACTCCCACAATCCCAGAGGACAGGTGCCTTGTCCCAGGCCAAGATTTCAATCACTGCGTGTTGCTTGGAGATGGATGGAAAGGGTAGGGCCACAGAGCAGTCAGGCATTCGGCCTACCACATTTTTCCCGAGGTAGAGTGGGAAGTCTAAGAATGAGAGAGGTAGGTGGGTTCCAAGGCCACATTCCCGGCCTGCTGTTGGGGAAATTTCTGATTAAGTACCCGACTACTCATTCGAGGTTCCCACATACAATAGAAAAATAAAAGGCCCTAGGACATCTAAGTATTGAAGATTATATGCAATACATCATTCATAGTCAACACTCCACCCATCCATACTGGATTTATGATAAAATACACATAAAATATATCATGGTAAGCATTTTTAAGTGTACAGTAAAATCATCCTGAGTCCAGAGCTTTTGCCTGAAACAAATCAATCAGCCCCCTCTTCTCCATTCCCAGTAACTGGCCTATGCACAAAAGGTTGTAGGTTTGGTTCCATGCAGGGCATGTACCGGGGTTGCAGGTTAGATGTCAGGGCACATGTCAGAGGCAACCAACTGATGTATCTCTCTCATATCAATGTGTCTCTCTCACATGAATGTTGCTCTTTCCTTCTCTCCTCCCCTCCTCTCTCTAAAAATCAATGGAGCCTGGCTGGTATTGTTCAGTGGTTGATCATCAACCTATGAATCAGGAGGTCACGGTTCCATTCCCAGTGGAGCACATGCCTGGGTTTCGGGCTTGATCCCAGGTAAGGGGCATGCAGGAGGCAGCTGTTTGATCCTCTCTTGTCATTGATATTACTCTCTCTCTCCCTCTGCCTCCCTCTAAAGTCAATAAAAACATCTTTTTAAAAAATTATATATTTTATTGATTCTTTACAGAGAGGGAGAGGGATAGAGAGTTAGAAACATCGATCAGCTGCCTCCTGCATGCCCCCCACTGGGGATGTGCCTACAACCAAGGTACATGCCCTTGACCAGAATCGAACCTGGGACCTTTCAGTCCGCAGGCCGATGCTCTATCCACTGAGCCAAACTGGTTTCGGCAATAAAAACATTTTTAAAAATTATTAAAAAATCAATGGAAAAAATATTTTCAGGTGAAGATTAACAAAATATATACATAAGTTTCTTACAATCCTCTAACTACCTCCCCACAAAAATAAGAGGCCTACAATAGTACTCCAGTATCAATATCCCCTGACCTTTTTCTGGTCCGTGGGCACTACTGAAGATATGCAGTCGCCCTAGGGGCTCCAAGCTAGACCTCAAGGAGTCACTGGGTCTCTCTGTCTCCTCCTCTTCTTCAGCCTCCCAGTTAACAGCCTGAGTGTCCTCCATGACCTGGGAAGGAAACACATTATCATCTCTATCATTGGTTCACAAGTCTCAGAGAGGAGACTCACAACTAGGAGTAAACCTGGATATTTATTCAGTTTGATGGTTCTCTATGCCAAGCATTCTATTGTTATCCTTCTAAAGCATTGAAAAACATACTTTTGACCAGGACACGGAATAAGAAAAAAATATCATAAGGCCCCAAGTAAATGTTCCTCAACTTATAATGTAGTTACATTCTGACAAATCTATCATAAATGGAAAATATCATGAGAATGCATTTAATATACCATAGCATAGCCTACCTTAAATGTGCTAGGAACACTTACATTAGCCTACAGTTGAGCAAAATTATCTAACACAAAGCCTATTTTATAAGATGGCTGAATATATTATGCATAGCATTTATGTAATATTGTAAAGTCAAAAAAATCAATTCCGAGAGAATATGTGTATATACAAATACACACATTTATATAGACAAGTGTTTTAAGAAACAATGGTCAGCTTTGCTATATGTAATAGTTTTCATTTTTTTTTTTTTTTAATGATTTGCAATCCACTAAATTGACTTCAATATCCACTATTGGGTTGCAACTCAGTTTGAAAACCACCATTTTCAGGGAGTTAACTTTTGCCAAGCATCAACTACATGTTGGGCATTGTTATGTGTCAGGCACAGTAACCCTGTGATGTGAGGCAGGCCTTTAGGAAACCAAGGCTAAAAATACTGAATCATTTGCTCAGGATAACACAGCAGGTGGTGTGAAGGGCAGGACTACGAATTCGTCTGGCTGCAATGCCCGTGCTTTTTACACTCTAGCAGACTACCTCAGGTGACTAGCCTGAACAGACTCATTTAATCATCTAAAGAATCCTGTGACGTTTATTATTATTTTAAAAAATATATTTTATTGATTTTTTTACAGAGAGGAAGAGAGAGGGACAGAGAGTTAGAAACATCGATGAGAGAGAATCATCGATCAGCTGCCTCTTGCACACCCACCACTGGGGATGTGCCCACAATCAATGTACACGCCCCTGACCGGAATCAAATCCCGGACCGTTCAGTCCGCAAGCTGACGCTCTATCCATTGAGCCAAACTGGTTTTGGCGACGTTTATGATGTCCTATTTGATAAAGAAATGCAGCGCAGCCCTGGTGGGGTGGTGGTTCAGTTGGTTGGAGCATCATCCTGATATGCCAAGGTTTTGAGTTCGATCCCTGGCCAGGCCACAAACAAGAATCAATGCATAAGTAAGTGGAACAAGCTGATGTTTCTCAAATCAATTTTTAAAAATACAAAGAGAAGACAGAGCCCTGGTTAATTTGTTCAGTGGTTAGAGCGTTGGCCCACAGACCAAAGGTTCTCTGGTTTGATACTGGCCCAAAATGGGGTGTGTGTGTGTGTGTGTGTGTGTGTGTGTGTGTGTGTGGAGAGACACAGCGGGGCAACCAATCCATGTCTCTCTCACCCTCCTCCCTCCTTCCACCCGGCCTATAAAAGGAAAAAAGCTGAAACACAGATGGGTAAGGAACTTGCCTAAGATCATCCAGATAATGTCTCTCCTCGGTTTAATATTCTTTCATGGCTTTCCATGTCCACAGGATAAAGTAAAACTCAAACTCCTTGGCGAGAGCCAACATGATCTAAACCCGGTCCTGCGGCGCCCCAACCCGTGCGGCTCCCCGCCCTGCGCGGTCCCACTCTGCTCGCCTCCGGGTCCGGCGCCTACCCCGCCCTTCCGGCCGGCGCCGCCTTCCCCGCCGCCCGCCTCCGGCCGGCGCTCCGCCCTCCTCACCACATTGTGGCCACTGCCGCCTGCACCCCCGAGGACGGCGCCAGCACTGTCTCTCCCCCGAGGGTCCGTCATCTTCGCCCGCCAGGACTCTGCGCGCACCCGGTGCCGCCCCACGTGTCAGACACTCAGCCAAAGAGCAGCTAGCCCTGCTCCTGGAGGCGCATGGCCGGCCCAGGGACCAGAGGGAGGAGATGGGACCTCAGAGCGGCACGAGAAAGATGCCCCCTAGGGAGAAGCCGCGGGACCAGGCTCCCACCTCAGGCCGCCCTCCGGCCCGTCTCCCGGCGCCCGCACCCCAGCTCGGGGCGGGGCGGCGGGCAAGGATGAGTATTGTAACCCCACAAGCAGCCCGAAGTATCCGCCGCCCAGTCGCACCACAGCACGCCCCCCCGCCCCCGGAGAAACAAGATGGCACCGGGCAGGGGCGGGCTCGGCCCCCAGAACTCACCCGCGGTGAGACCCGCGCGCGCCACCAGTAACGGCCGCGACGCCTCGGCGCGAGAGCTCCCGCCGAGCCGAGCCGGCCCGCTGATTGGTTCCAGCCACTGTCTTTCACAGTCCGCTGCGAGCCGATTGACGCAGCCCAGGTGGAGGCCCCGCCCCCGCCCCCGCCCCGCTTTGAGAGGCGAGGTCGCCGCGCGTCCGGAATAGCGCGCCTCGATTGGGCACCTCCAGGACCCAGCCCGGCCGCGTCACCGTCCGCCGCCCATTCCCGCGCAGACACCCAAACCACGACCACAGAGTCTCGCTGCGGGAGGTGCCTAGAGGGGCTCCTGGTGCGGCCAGAGCGTCCTTCCATGGTCCTCCCAGACCTGTGGTGCTGACTCATGGAAATGGAAATGAGTTGCTGTCGTGGCCGGAGGCTGCAGTTTGGAGAACAGCCCGGAGGCGTGGCGCTTGAGGACTTCTCACTGCAATGGAAGTTTATTTCCTTTCGACTTGTTTGTGTAGAAGTCAGGTCTTTTCCTCTCTGAGAATATAGCCCTGGTGGATATTTTGAGATCGTTTACCTAAAGCAAAGTTCCCTAGGCCAGCAGAGGGAATCCTTTTTGCTAACCGTCTCAAGGCTGACCGAGGTACTTCAAGGAGTGAAGAAAGGATAAAATAATTTCATTATTCATACTAAGACAAGCAAGAAGACAAGCAGTTTGACATGTGTATAATGTAGAAAGTCCTTTTTCATTCGCTATCTCACTTTATTCTGATCACAACTATCTAACAGAAGTAGATTTTACAGAGGGAATTGAAGCTCTGCTAAATTAAATGACTTGACTAGGTTTCTACCGCTCATGTAAGGTAATTAAAACAAGTCCTTTGATTCTAAATTCTAAACTGTTCACTGCCACAAAAGTGAACAGTTTAGAATTGTGGTTATGCCCCAAAACATTCTATTTTAAATGGGTAGAGGGGTCTTCTTACACAATTGGATGTTCTTTTATGACTGAGAGATGTGTATTGACTTCAAGAACTAATAACGATGACCTTGATATCACATGTCCTCTATTATAGTGCTTACTACACTCTATTCTTTGTCCATTTTTCACCCAATTGCAAGGTCCTGGAGGCTGATTCATAACCAGTTTTGTATCTCTCGCTCCTGGCTTGGGGACACTCAGAATCTACCAAATGAGTGAATCCGGGAGGAAAAGCACTTAGATTTGAGCTCATCCAATTTCCTCCCATGAATACCCTCATTCCATTTTGAAATGTGTATCCTGAGGCTCTTGAAAGCCAGCCACCTAGTGACTAGGTACAAATCAGTGAAACCAGCGAACTGAAAAACCAGACTCCAAAGTGTTGAAAGGCAGGATTATTTTATCATTTCTTCACTCCTTGAAATTCTAGCAGTCATCTCACCCCATAGTTCTATGTTTGACATAACCATAGTCTTCAACGCTGCTCAAGGCCCAGATGTCCTATAAGATCGGATATTTCTTTGAACATACCTCCAGACAATTACATCTCTATCCTGTAAGCCCTTGCTGCAATTTTGTTTGTCTTTCTAAATGTTATCGTTAGAAAACGCTCAAGGAGCCGAAACCGGTTTGGCTCAATGGATAGAGCGTCGGCTTGGGGACTAAAAGGTCCCAGGTTCGATTCCGGTCAAGGGCATGTACCTTGGTTGCAGGCACATCCCCAATAGGGGGTGTGCAAGAGGCAGCTGATCGATGACTCTCATCGATGCTCCTATCTCTCTCCCTTCCTCTCTGTACAAAATCAATAAAATATATTTTTTTAAAAACGCTCAAGGAAATAGCAGGAAGGCAGCCCCCTCCTACTGGAGGCATCTGGGGGAGCAGCGCGTAGTGTTCGTGTCCGCAGTCACGAAGGGCCGGTTGTTAGAGCGCAGAGCGGAGGGCCGTGCTCCGCAGTTTTCGCTGAGCTAAGCAGGGTCCCGCCTTCCCCAGAGCTGCGGCAGCCCGGAGCGTTCAGGGCGTGGCAGCCCACCTTCCAACGCCAGCACATAAGGTTCCTAACTCCGGCAGCCCCGAAAACGACTCCCTTTTTGCATTAAAAAAAACTCAGACCTAGAGGAAAGTCATCTTGGCAAGATCATTTTCATAAAACTCCCCAAATCCAAAACACCCCAAACCGGTATCCACCCATCCACCCTTTCCCTTTGCAGTGCGGACAACAATGGAGGACTACAACTCCCAGAGAGGACCGCGCTCGTTCGCCCGGGCACAGACCAATGGACGTCGGCTGCCTGGCCGGCGTCGACTAATCAGGGCCGGCCTCGCGGCGGCTTTGTCTCGGCGAGCGGGCGGCCGGCTCCCGCCCCGCCGCGCACGCGCGCCCCGCCCGCCCCCTCGCCCGCGCCCTGCGCTCGCTCTCCTGCCTCTCGCAGCCTGCCAGCCGCGGCGTGCGGACCTCGCTGCTCCAGCCTCCCGCCACGTCCCATTCCATCAGCCTTGAGCAGCAGCGGAGAAAAAAACCCAGACATTTTCTTGCCCCATACACACTTTGGAAACGGGCAAAATTTTTAAATTTGAACCATGAGGGAAATCGTGCACATCCAGGCGGGTCAGTGCGGAAACCAGATCGGTGCCAAGGTAAGGATTTTAAAACCTCTTTTAACTCTATTTCTTTTTGAGAACTAAAGAATCCAGATAAACTATGAAGAATGGCTGTGGGCTGTTTGCAGTTTCCAGCCTTAGCCAACCTTGGCCAAAAGGAAGTTTTATATGTATAGTGCACATTTGCAGTGGAATTTGCTTTTGGAAAATGAGGATTTTTTTTCTTTTTGGCAGAATCATTTTGGGGAAGCTATCAAAAGCACTCTTGAGGTTTGGGGGACTGGAAGACCGAGGTTCTGTAAGGTTTTACCTAAAGGGAATCTAACGGTCCGGGGGTCGAGGAGGGAAGAAGATGCGGAAACTGCCGAGACAAAGCGAGGCGCGGTTCCTCCATGTGCATCCCCTTTGGCGGGGTTTCGGAGGCCAAGCCGAGGGGAAAGGGGTGAGGCTGATAAGACAACTGCAGACCTCGGTTCCCAAGCTGGGGACGCGTTACCTCCATGAAGCCAGGGGTCTTAGCGCGCCCCTGTGATTGCCGAGGGGCGGGCCCGTGGGTGGAAGGCTAATATGAGCTGGATTTATTTTGCTTACTTTATTTCCTTCCGCTTAGAGACCCCTTTAGGGCTTGATAAGGAGAAAAGGAGGGCTTCCTTTTCTTTAGAGGGTCCCCTCAGGACCAAATTGTGGGAGAAAGGAAGACAATCCTCATTTAAAGCAAGAGGGAAGTTAGCCAAGGGAACAATTCCGAGGCTAAGGGGGCATTTCTTTCTTTCCTTTTGCGCGCCGCTACCGTGTAGCGGGGGAGAGTGCGGCCGCTATCGGCGCTACTTTGTAGCAAAAGGGCTGGGCTCAGGGGCGGGCACTGCCCCGCGGGCCGCCAGGGGGCGCGCTAGCTCAGGGGAGGCCCCGCCCCTCGCGCGCCGAATTCGCGCCTCGGCCCCGCCTCGCGTGACGCCTCCCTTTGTCAGCAGCTTGGCGAGCGCTACAGCCGCGTGGAGAGCTGGGGGTCGGCCGCTGCGGCAGCTGGTTTCTCTGGCCCTTTGTGCGCGGCTTGCATGCCCTGCGTGGGGGCGAGGGGGAGCTTACCTAGTTAGGTTAGCCACCTCATCTGTGTGCCATCGCCGGCCCTCCCAGCTGACAGCATTTCACATCCCAAGGTAGCTTTCCCGTGGGTGGAGTGTCAGAGGGAGGGGCGCGCAGGCAGGTGGCGGGAATGCCTGCAGTGTGTTTGGAATTAAAGTGGTGGGAGCAGGGGCAAAATTGAGGGTTCACCGTTGTTTCCTGACAGTTCTGGGAGGTGATCAGTGATGAACATGGCATCGACCCCACCGGCACCTACCATGGGGACAGCGACCTGCAGCTGGACCGCATCTCCGTGTATTATAATGAAGCCACAGGTGAGGGGAGGAGCGGAAGATCAGCCCATCTCCTACTCCTGGGGTCTTTCCTTTTTTACAGAACCCCCTAACTCCTTTGAATGGATCTATCCTTTCCCACTGAACCTTCCTATGTTTAATTTGTCACCGTGGGGGTCAAAGACTAGCTCAGCTGTCACCTAGTAGTAGCAGCCCCTGGAATCACACGTTTGGGTCCCTGTCCTCGCACTTTATTTCAATAAAGCCCCACTTTATTTACCTTCTGCCAATGTTCACTCCTCTCCTTTTCTTCCCTGTAGGTGGGAAATATGTCCCTCGTGCTATCTTGGTGGATCTAGAACCAGGTACCATGGACTCTGTTCGCTCTGGTCCTTTTGGCCAGATCTTCAGACCAGACAACTTCGTTTTTGGTAAGTTATGTAGATACCATCACATCCCATTTATTTTGGTGCAAGAGAGCATTTAGAGTTAGGAATGATTATTGTACATGGAGCTTTTACAGGGCCGTGTTCTGAAATCTAACGGAGGGGGGCGGTGGCTGCCTTACTTAGTAAACTATTGGGGGCACATCTCACAGGTGAGAGAGATAAAAACAGACCCAGAGGCATTTTCCCAAAAGGTGCGAGGTGAGGATGTGGTGTCTGTGTGTGTAGTGCCCTTCACTGTTCAGACTTGCCTCCTGACCCCATTCCAGGTCAGTCTGGGGCCGGGAACAACTGGGCCAAGGGCCACTATACGGAGGGCGCTGAGCTGGTGGACTCCGTCCTGGACGTGGTGCGGAAGGAGGCGGAGAGCTGCGACTGCCTGCAGGGCTTCCAGCTGACCCACTCGCTGGGCGGGGGCACCGGGTCGGGGATGGGCACCCTCCTCATCAGCAAGATCCGGGAGGAGTACCCCGACCGCATCATGAACACCTTCAGCGTGGTGCCCTCGCCCAAGGTGTCGGACACGGTGGTGGAGCCCTACAACGCCACCCTCTCGGTCCACCAGCTGGTGGAGAACACCGACGAGACCTACTGCATCGACAACGAGGCCCTGTACGACATCTGCTTCCGCACCCTCAAGCTGACCACGCCCACCTACGGGGACCTCAACCACCTGGTGTCCGCCACCATGAGCGGGGTCACCACCTGCCTGCGCTTCCCCGGCCAGCTCAACGCCGACCTCCGCAAGCTGGCCGTCAACATGGTGCCCTTCCCGCGCCTCCACTTCTTCATGCCCGGCTTCGCCCCCCTCACCAGCCGGGGCAGCCAGCAGTACCGGGCCCTCACTGTGCCTGAACTCACCCAGCAGGTATTTGATGCCAAAAACATGATGGCCGCCTGCGACCCCCGCCACGGCCGCTACCTGACCGTGGCCGCTGTCTTCCGCGGCCGCATGTCCATGAAGGAGGTGGACGAGCAGATGCTCAACGTGCAGAACAAGAACAGCAGCTACTTCGTGGAGTGGATCCCCAACAACGTGAAGACGGCCGTGTGCGATATCCCGCCCCGGGGCCTCAAGATGGCGGTCACCTTCATCGGCAACAGCACGGCCATCCAGGAGCTGTTCAAGCGCATCTCTGAGCAGTTCACGGCCATGTTCCGGCGCAAGGCCTTCCTGCACTGGTACACGGGCGAGGGCATGGACGAGATGGAGTTCACCGAGGCCGAGAGCAACATGAACGACCTGGTGTCCGAGTACCAGCAGTACCAGGACGCCACGGCTGAGGAGGAGGAGGATTTCGGAGAAGAGGCCGAAGAGGAGGCCTGAGGCGCCTGTACTCCACTTCTCCGCTCCCTCTGCTGCCCTTTTCCCCCTCAAAATTTGCTTCTTTTTTTTTTTTTTTTTTTTTTTTTTTTGCTTTTAGGGGTGATCTAGAACAATGCCTGGCACATAATAGGGCTCAATAAATATTCGTTGTTTCTTGAATGTCTCCTCTCTTGTTCCATACCGGGAAATCTATATTTCTGCCACTCTACTGGGTAACTTTTATTTCCTTCTTATGCCTTACTTCCTATTCATTAAAATTTTTATATATATACACTAGAGGCCCAGTCCACAGATGGTGCATGGGAGGGATCCCTAGGCCTGGCAGGTGGGGGTGGGAGGGTGGGGGAAGGGACTGCACTGACCACCAGGGGCAGCTCCTGTTGAGCGTATGCTCACTGCTACTCAGTGTGTGTCATAGTGTTCAGTCCACCAGTTTAAGTCACTTAGGCTTTTTATATATATATATATATATATATATATATATATATATGTTTTTAAAATTGTTTTTTAGAGAAACACTGAGGATACAACACGGGTCAGCTGACTCACGCATACCCCCTATCACGGATTGAGCTTGTGCTCTTGACCTCTAATCAAACCAGCAACCTTTTCATGCATGGGATGATGCTCAATCAACAGCCACACCAGCCAGGGCCCAGTTAATATTTTCATTTTCAACATAATTCTCCAAGAAAGCTGGATGTCACCCAATCCCACTTAGAACTGAAAACATGCCACGCCCTCATGGTAGTGATGGGAGAATCAGCTAACCAGCCTGGAGAAGTGCCTTTGAAGAATGGGTGGGGTTCACCGATTTTGGAGAACGGGATTCAGGTTGTCTTGGTTCCCAGGTGTTCTGCCCACCTTCAGCTTTGGGGGAGGTGTTAACGGTATCCCAGCTTGGCCTGAGCCGTTTCCTTTGCAGGGTCTGCCCCTCTATCCAGTAGGATCCTCCCCTTCCACTTCCTCTGGATGCAGTCACCGTTCCTCACCGAGGAGCAGCAGTCGTTACTGTTGCCTAAACGTTGCAGTCATTCCCCAGGAGGGGACAGGGCACCCACACACCCCTTTGGTTTTGTCTTGTCCTACAATTTCTGTTGAAAATGACCTTGCCCCCAAAGCCAAAAGGAAATGGGAATTGAAAAAATATTTGCAAGATTTGCTCCTTTAGCGGACTGGTTCACTCACACACGTGTTGTTCTCTGAATGGATGAGAAAACCCTTAATTGACTCTCACGTCTTCATCCCTGGAACCCACCCACCAGCAGTCCTGGCTAGGGTGGGCATGGGCAGCGAGCAGGAATGGGAAGGAAACGGAAGTCAAAGGAGCAGAAGGGTTCCTAGAGCAGCACTGTGGAGTCTAGAAACAGGTTCCGACGATGCCCTGACCCAAACCAGGTCTGCTTCCAGCAGCCCGTGCTCCGGAGGAGTCATGAAGGAGTCAGGCCCCTGCTGCCAGCCCTGGCACAGCAGCCAGCACTCCTCGGCGGAATCTGCAGCCACGTGGGTTTTCTCAGTCAGCCTATGAAAGTCACTAGCATGGGAGGCCCCCAAGGGCCCATCCTAAACACTGCTGCTCTATCATGTTCTTAATGATTTTTTATAGGTTCCTAGAGGGAGGGAGGGGGAGGAACATCCTGTGAGTGGGACGGCTCGGCCTCCTCCTGCGCCCAGTCCTGGGGAAGGGCCCTGGGGTGTATGGAGACACTGAACTGCCGGGCCCCAGGCCGAGCACTGTCTCGTGTTTTTAAGTTGCACAAAATAAGTTTCCAGGTTACCCTGAAACCTAAGTCCACTTCCCTTGGCCAATTTTCACTAAGTCCAGGGACTAATGCAATTCTCACACTCCTCCCAGATCAACACGCTTCCTGACTAAACCAAGGTTTTTTTGGGAGGAGTTAATTCTACAGCCCCTCGGTGTACAAATAACTTTCTCCCATCTAGAAGCAGACTGGAAGCAAGCTGTATCCTAACGTTCATTTCAAGTGAGTTTTGTTTCACCTTAATTGTTCACAAGGGTCAGTGCTTAACGGCAATGTATCTGGCACATCGAGAACCTGCGGCCACCCCTCAGTCTCCATCAGAAAACAATCTGACACAGGCTCCGCGAGTTTAATTAGGAAACTGAACAAGTGGGGAGGAGCGGGATGATCGGACCCTGGGGGCTGGCAGTCCTGGTGATGGGCCGTGGGCAGCCCTCCCCTCCAAGGCCCGGCACGGCTATTTGGCGAGGAGAGATGAGCGATGCCCCGCCCAGGGACATGCTTCGGGGCAGCTGACAAGCATACGACACGGGGGCACTCAGGCAGGCGAGGGCGAGGGCGAGGGCTCAGGCTGTTCGCAGAGGCTTGTGGTTCACCTGGTGAAAGAGACGAGAGCGGTGACGTGGGAACTTCCCCACGCTCCGTCCGGTGACCTGGCTGCAGGGAGGAACCCTTCTGCTCCTTTGACTTCCATCTGTTTCCATCCCAATTCTAGAGTTTTCTTTTCCCCAATTACAGTTTACACCAGTAGCACGGCACACGGCACAGTAAGGGGCCTGCGTTTCCTGGGCCTCCCTCACCCCTTGCCCAGCCCCAGGATCGTGCACAGCGGGAATTCCTGAGCGCGGAGGGCTAGAGCAGCATGCAGACTGCAGGCCTCAACGAGGCTCCACGGAGCCAGCCTTGAGGCCACGGGCGTGGTCGATGCTTTCCCTTATGGATGAAGGTCTTCACTGAGACCCTCTTACATGGCAGCTACTGCGTACCAGGCAGGGTTCTAAACACTGCAAATGTCACGCATTTACTCCCCGTAACCATTCAGCAGGGAGCTGCCATCACTGGGCGGTGAGGGGCCACGGCAGAGGTGAGAGCTTCTCTGCGGTCCCGGCCGCACCGGAGCCAGATGGCACCGGAGGCATCAGGCCGCACTCGGACCTCTGCCCGAAGGCGGGGAGCCGCGGTCTGAGAAGAGCAGTGAGGGCCTCACCGCCCTCAGACCGCGCCCAGCTCCATCCGGGACAGGGCGGGGCGGAAGCTGGCCGCCCAGGGCGTGACGGCCAGCTTACCCACGTTACTCACAAGATGGAGTTCAGTCTCTACTTTGTAAAACGCTCCGTGCCAGGGGCAGTGACAGTAAACGTCCTTGTATGAAAGGGCTATGTGGGAGCTGAGCGCTGGCACGGACAGCAGCTGGGACGTCCTCACCTGGGAGATGCTGATGCCTGTGAGCCGCTCCACGCTCTCGGGCAGGTGGCTCAGGATGTCCAGGACTTCCCCCGTCACCTTGGCCGCCCCCACGGCCCCACTGCCGCTGGACACCAGCGTGATCTTTTTGGTAGAGGTCAAGGGACCACTGATCTCCTCTGCCACCTGGGGGGAGAGGTCCACTCAGCGCCTGTGACCCTATCACACGCTCCCAAAAGGCTTTCCCCGGGGCTTTTAGTTCCTCAGCCCAGGGTATTTTCCCACTGACTTTTAGAGAGTGGATGGGAGGGTGGAGAGAAACATCTCAACCAACTGCCTCCCACATGTGTCCTGATAGCCAGGGACCAAACCTGCAACCCAGATACATGCCCCTGACCGGGAATCGAACCCACGACCCTTGGGTGCACGGGTGGATGCTCTCACCACTGAGCCAGGCTGGCGACCCTGAGTTTTTCAAGAGCAGATCTTACAGATGACCCTTTCCCACTCTGGTCACTGGCTCCTAACCCCCAGCCTGACTCACGGTGCCCGGCCCGGGCCTGGCGACACCGGTTCCCCCGTGCCGACCTGGGGCAGCTTCTCCAACAGCATGTCCAGCTGGGCAGCCTCCTGGTACAGCTGGAACGCCTCCGCCTTCTTGGCCATCTGCTCGGCCTCCGCCTGGGCCCGGGCCCCGATGGCAAAGGCCTCGGCCTCCCCCCGCATCTGGGGAGCGTACAGGGCGCTGCGATGTGATCGGAGCAGGTGAGGGCGGGAAACCCCAGCTCCGCAGCAATGCCCCAACTCACCCTCACAGACTCCGCCTCGGCCTCCGCCTGCATGATCAGCTGGGACCTGGGCAAACGGGTGCAGGGGAGCTGAGGCCCAGCGCGGTGCAGGCCGACCACCTGAGCTCCACGGAGGAGTCGGGTGGTGAAGACCGCGGCTCTTTCTCTGGGGGTGCCCGCCCGCCCGCCCACGGGGGGAGACCGGAGGGGCCCGGGGAGGGCGTTTACCGCTCGGCCTCCGCCAGACGCTCCAGCCGGTAGCGCTCGGCCTCGGCCGGCTTCCGCACGCGGGCCTCCAGCTCCTTCTCGCGGCGGGCGATCTCCTGCTCCTGCACGGCCACCTGCTGCGCCCGCTCCACCACCTGCACCTGCACCCGCTGCTCCTCGATCTGCTGCTTCGTTTTGGCCACCTGGGAGGAGGCGCTCGCTCAGGGCTGAAAGGCCAAAGGCCAGCCCAGAGGCCCGGGCCGGGCCAGGCGGGGCGGTGGAGCGGTCCCCAGCCAGCCCGCCAGCCCAGCCGAGTCCGCTTCTTACAGAGCCCAGGCAGCACCCGGACCCTCCTCAGACCCAGACCCGCACGGGACCAGGGCTCCCAGGCCGCCGGCACAGCCCCTCTAGGAGCCCCCGGCGGCATGAGGGCAACCCCGGCCGGCTCCCTCCACCGGCTCCGCGCCTCAGTGCAGCCACCCACTGCGCCCGCTGCCCTTTCCCTCTTATTTTGTCAGGGGAAACCAGGCTTCCTCCCCTGCAGGCCACCAGTGCCCAGTGTCCTGGGTACCCTTCCAGGGCACGCGACGACAAGCACTCCAGGAACCTGCGTACAGAACGCCTCTTGTTTGGGCAGAGTTCCTTTCTTACTCCTCGCGGCACCCAGGGAGCAGAGCGTCCTTGCGGGCTGTCGGCAGCGAGGAGGTGCAGGGAAGGTGTGTCCTTCCCATCTCGCTGCTCTAGCCCATCACCATCATGGCGCAGTGCCCCTGCCTGGACTGGCCCCCCTGGTGTCAAGCCTTTTCCAAACTGGACTTGTTGCTCTCCGGCGGCGGAAGGCCCCCTCCCCGCCCCGCCCCTTCGGAGGACTCAACCGCCAGCAGCTTCCTTGGACAGAGTGTGTGGGCAGCAGGTTCACCGAGACCTTCCTTCTCGGGGACTTTCGTTCTGCCCTTCCACCTGAATTACAGTCAGGCCGAGTGCAGTTACTATGTTGAAATCATTTTCAGCAGAATTTTGAAGGCATTGCTCCATGGCCTTCTAACTTAAGAAATCTAGTCATTTTGGTGCCTGACCCTTTGAGAAAAATTCTCTGGGAGCTTCTAGATCTTTCCTTGTTCTGAGGGATCTGAAGTTTCTTTCAGTGATGTGTTTCAATGTAGATGTTTTTCATTAATTGTGTTTCATTTAGAAACTCACACCCTTCAAAACAGATAAACATTTTGCAAACTTTCCATTTGGCTATTTCCTCCCATTTCTTTGGTCTGTGGGAGCTGCTGGACTGGCCACTCCTCCACCCTCTGTTCTGTTCTTCTGGGGAGTTTTTTTTTTAAAGTATATTTTATTGATTTTTCACATAGAGGAAGAGAGAGGGATAGAGTTAGAAATATCGATGAGAGAAAATCATCGATCAGCTGCCTCCTGCAAACCCCCTACTGGGGATGTGCCCACAACCAAGGTACATGCCCTTGACCGGAATCGAACCCGGGACCTTCCAGTCCGCAGGCCAATGCTCTATCCACTGAGCCAAACCGGTTTCAGCTCTTCTGGGGAGTTTTATTGGAATTTCTCTTCCAAGAAGATTTTTAAATTTATGCCATTTTATTGCTTCCCCCCTTTACTGCATTTATTGGGGTTTATTAATTTCTAAGCATGGCTTCTTGTCTCTATCCTGACTTCCTAGAAGTCGATTCTTCTATCTCATTGAGCACATTCCCTTTTCCAAAGGCTTTCTGTTCCGGCACAGCCCGGCTCCTGCACTTGGCCCTGCGGCCCCCCGGCTCCCGGCAGAGGCTGGCCGGCCTGGAAGGAGGCTCTGGGGGTGGTGGCCTTGGGCTGAGAGCTCCCTCAGTCTGGGCAGGCCACAAGCTGGGAGCCTGGGCGCCAGGAGCTCTAGGTCCCTCCCTCCGGAGTGGTCATGCTCCGAGTGGGGCCGGGGAGGGAAAGGCCAGCATGTGGGATGCGACAGGCCACAGTCAGCTCTTGGCCCTGCTGCCGAGTGCCAGGTCCTCGCCTGTGTCTGCCGCCCCAGGCCACACCCTCTGGTTGACTCTCACCAGATAACCCTCCAGACGTCTACTGGGCAGAGACTGGGAGAGGGACCCAGAGGCAGGGAGTCTGCGAAGGGACTCTTCCCGTTTCTGCTGATTTCCACAGTCTTCAGGCCCAGACCTCAGACATGGTGCCAGCTCAGCCATATGTAGTAATTACCATGGCCTTCCATCTTCCAAAGCGATGCTACGGTGGCCCTTCCTTCTTTCCCTCCCTCCCTCTTCTCAAAATCACGCCATGTGGTTTTAATGAGGTTTTAGCTGCATTTATCCAATCCATCGTCTTTGAAAAAGCTTGTCTCCCCACTGCCTTTCTTCTGACCATCAGTTCTCCACACAGCAGCCGTCTGGTCCCTGTACAGACATCGATCAGAGCACAACCCTCTCTCCTGGAGTTCTCCAGTAGCTTCCCAGTGTGCTCGGAGTCTGTCCTAAGTCGCCATTGCGGCTCCTTGAGCCCTCTGGGACCTGGCCTGGCCTCCACTCCCCAAGCACACCAGCCACACCCATCAGAACCCCCTCCCCCACTCTGTTTCTGGGACCCGCCAAGTTCCTTCCCACCTCAGGGCCTTGCTGGCCCCCTGCCTAGCCATTAGCCACATCTGGCTATTTAGATTTAAATTAGTAGTCAACGAGCTTAAAATGCAGTTCCTCAGACTCAACTCCACCAGCCACATCTCCAGTGTCAGCGTCACAGCAAAATGCATAAAACTTCCATCGGCACAAAGGTTCTGTCTGAGCATTGCTGGTTTAGAGACTTCTTGGCCCACAACTCTCTACATTGCTGGACCCTTCAGCTTTTAATTCAAATATTTGCTTACAGCAGTCTTCTCTGACCACCGGCCTCACACAGCAAGCTACCGCTGTCTGCTGTCACCCCTGTATGCCACATGTGAGGACGCATGTACCTCCTCGCACGCCCTCAGTGCGGGCCACACGTGAGGACGCGGGTGCCTCCTCGCACGCCCTCAGTGCGGGCCACACGTGAGGACACGGGTGCCTCCTCGCCACGCTGGGCCGGACCACACTCAGCGGGGCCGAAGCCCAGCTCCGGGGTTTCCTGCCTCCCCCTGTGGTCGCGGGGGCCGCCCTGTCAATGAGAAGAGGCGCGGCTTCCTTGGGGTGCAGGTGCACAGCTGGAGAGACAGGGCTGGACTGAGCTCCGGTCCCCCCATCCAGGTGCCACTGCACAGGCACACCCTACCCCAAACCTGTGACCAGCCTACAGATCATACACCTCTCGACCTTTTCTTTGCTTTTTAGCTGAAATGTTAGGATCTTTTAAATTTCCCTCATCTGGATGAGCTGGGTCAGAGGTGGGGAGCAGAGTCAGAATGTGACGGAGTGGGAGTTGAGAGAGGGGGTGCCTGCCCCGGGGGTGGCTGACCTGCAGCTGGTAGGCCAGGTCGGCCTGAGCGCGGCGGGTGTTGACCTCAATGTCGTAGGTGGCCTTCTTCAGCTCGTAGTCCCTCTGGGCCTTGGCCATCTCAGTCTCACTCAGGTACTGCGCAGACACTTTCTCCTGCTTGGCTTTGGCCTCCTGTCCATGCAGACAGGCGCGGAGTCAGCAGGTGGGGAGGCCCCGGGCGAGGCAGCTTCCCACAGGCTCCCTGCCTTTGCCCAGCACTGGCCTCCTTCTCCTCTGCCAGCCCCATCGTTGTGCACCCCCAAGTGCTCAAGTGCCCATGGGGACCAGACCCCTCACCCGAATCCCAGCATCTCGCTTGGCCTCCGCTTCTCCAATCCGTGCATCCTTTTGGACCTGGGCGGTCCGAGCCTTCCCCAGGGAGTGCAGGTAGTCCTGTGGGAGAGAGCAGACCCTGAGCCCCGCGGAGGGCGAGGAGCAGCGGGGCCAGAGGACACCGGCCGCCTACCTGGTCATCGTGGATATCCTTCAGGGTGTAGCTGACCACACTGATGCCCATGTTCACCAGGTCTGAGGAGGCCACCTTGAACACCTGCTCCGAGAACTTCTGCCTATCCTTGTAGATCTCCTAGGACAGGACAGGGAGGAGGGCCTGAGCTCCGGGCCAGCCCGGCCCCCCTGCGGACCGGCCAGGGGTTGCCCTGCGCGCCCACCTCCACAGTCATGTGGGCCATGATGGCCCGCTGGTGGCCCTCCAGGGTCTCCAGCGCGATGTGGGCGATCTCGGCCTCCGTCTTCCCCAGGAACATCTGGCAGGCGGCCGCCAGCATCTCTTTGTTCTGCCCCTGGATCTTCACCTGCGGGCAGTGGGAGGGAGGTGCGGTCTGGAGCAGAGGGCCCGGGGAGAGGAGAGGAGCACACCAAAGGGGTTGGCTGGGCGGAGGAGCACACCAAAGGGGTTGGCTGGGCCGGGAGAGGCTCAACGCCGCACCTGGGCGATGCCGGTGACGGAGATGGGGACCCCGTGGCGCGTGTAAACCTTCTCACTCTTGACGTTGAGGGTCAGGGTGTTGAGAGAGATCCTAGAGGAGACGGAGAGGGCAGTGAGGAGCGAGGGGAGAGGAGCCGGCCCGCGGGCTCTCCCTACGCACCTCTGGATCTGCTGGATGCAGGGTAGGACGAAGACGCGGCCGCCGGCCACCATGACCGGGGGGCTCCGGCAGAAGCCTGCAAGGGGGGCAGTGAGCTGGCGTGGCGCCGGGACGCGGGGGCCTCGGGAACTTGGGGGCTGCCCCCACGCGGAAGTCGGGGGCGGGTGGGGGGCGCAGCAGCGCTGGGGGGCCGGGAGCCCGGGCGCCGCGGGGCTGGGGGAGGGGAGGGCGGCGCCAGGCTCCGGGGCCGCGGGCGGGGACGGCGCTTACCGGAGACCACCATGGCCTCGTTGGGGCCGCAGGTGAAGAACATGGCTCCGTGCGGCTGGCGGAGAAGGCGTCCGCGGGAGCGGTGTTTCCCGTCAGCCCGCCCGCCCCCACCTCAGCCCGGGCCCTCGCGCCGCGGCTCAGGCCTTCCCCGAAACCCGCAGCGCCGAGGCCGCTCGCCCGCCCGGCCCCGCCCGCCGCGAGGCGGTTCCCCGGCCCGATAGAGCTCCGCCGCCCGGGGAGCCAGCCTCCGCCACCCGAGCACCGGCGCCGCCAGGAGGCCCAACCCGCGGCCTCCGCGCGCCCCGCCCCGTTCCCGGCAGCCCCCGCTCCGCCCCCGGCGGGCCCGCCCCATTCTGGCAGCCCCCGCCCCGTTCCCGGCGGCCCCCGCTCCGCCCCCGGCGGGCCCGCCCCATTCTGGCAGCCCCCGCCCCGTTCCCGGCGGCCCCCGCTCCGCCCCCGGCGGGCCCGCCCCGTTCCGGCGCGTGACGCGGCCCCGTCACGGGCACCCCCGCGGCGGCCGGAGTCGGGACCGGCGCGCGCGGGGGCTCGCGGCTTGGAGACCACGCGGACGGCGGACAGAGGCCACGCGGACAGACGGCGCCACAGGAAAAGCCGTTTATTGTGTTCACAGAACATACCGCCCGCCGCCCGCGCTCACAGGGCCGGGCCGCGGCGGCAGCGTCGCGCCGCATAAGTTAAATAAATACTGAGCCCTGTCTCCGGGGACATAAATACATAAATATAAATAAGGGCCGAGAGCCCGGCTGACCCTCCGCCGGCCGGAGGGGGGGGAGGTTGGGGGGCCGCGGTCAGAGGGAGGCCGGGGGGCGCTGGAGCCAAGCGCTGAGGTCCAGAGCGTAGTCCGGGGGCTCCGCCGTCCGGTTGCGGGGCTCGAGGGCCGCGGGCGCGGGCGCGGGGGGCGCGGCGCCGGGGGCGCCCTCCGCGGCCTGGGGCGCCGGCGCCCCGTCTTCGGCCGCCAGGATCTGGCAGAAGACCACGGCGAGCAGCAGGAGCAGCAGCCTCCGGGCGGGGCCGGGGTCCTCGGCGGGCGGCGGGCGCCGGACCTGCGGGGGATGCGGGGACAGTCAGCCGGGGCGGCAGCGGGGCCGCGCCGCTCCCGCCCTGCCGTCCCCGGGCGCCACTCACCGCCGGCGGGTAGAGGACCCTGCGGCTGCGCTTCCTGTGCGCGCGGGCGGCGCGGGGGCGCGGGGCGGGGGCCGCCGGCGGCTCCGGGAGCGGGTCGAACGTGAAGACCTCGGGCCCCGAGCCGCGCCGGGGCCGCGGGCTGGCGGAGGGCGCCGGGGTCGGGGCGCGCAGGGCGGCCATGGCGGGCAGGGAGCAGCGGGAGCGGCACATGGCGGCGGCGGCGGCGAGCGCAGGAGGGATGGAGCCCGGCGCCCGCCGCGCGTTAAGTACGGCCGAGGGGCGGGCGCCCACGGGGCGGCCCTTCGCCGCCCCCGCCCCGCCGCGGCGCGGAAATTCCTGCAGTGCACAGGCGGAGACTGGGCCCGACCGCCGCTGCCCGTGTGTGCGCTGTGCGTGTGAGCTGTGTGTACACTGTGTGAGTGAGCTGTGCGTGTGAGCTCTGTGTGTGTGCTGAGTGTGTGAGCTGTGTGTACACTGTGTGTGAGTGAGCTGAGCGTGTGAGCTCTGTGCGTGTGAGCTCTGTGTGTGTGCTGAGTGTGTGAGCTGTGTGTACACTGTGTGTGAGTGAGCTGTGCGTGTGAGCTCTGTGTGTGCTGTGCGTGTGAGCTGTGTGTACACTGTGTGAGTGAGCTGTGCGTGTGAGCTCTGTGTGTGTGCTGTGCATGTGAGCTGTGTGTACACTGTGTGAGTGAGCTGTGCGTGTGAGCTCTGTGTGTGTGCTGTGCGTGTGAGCTGTGTGTACACTGTGAGTGAGCTGTGCATGTGAGCTGTATGTACACTGTGTGAGTGAGCTGTGCGTGTGAGCTCTGTGTGTGTGCTGTGCGTGTGAGCTGTGTGTACACTGTGAGTGAGCTGTGCATGTGAGCTGTATGTACACTGTGTGAGTGAGCTGTGCATGTGAGCTCTGTGTGCTGTGCGTGTGAGCTGTGTGTACACTGTGTGTGAGTGAGCTGTGCGTGTGAGCTCTGTGTGTGCTGTGCGTGTGAGCTGTGTGTACACTGTGTGAGTGAGCTGTGCGTGTGAGCTCTGTGTGTTAGTGTGTGTTGAGTGTGTGCTGTGTGTACACTGTGAGTGAGCTGAGTGTGTGAGCTGTGTGTACACTGTGTGTGAGTGAGCTGTGAGTGCGTGAGCTGTGAGTGTGAGTTGTGTGTGCTGTGAGTGTGAGATGTGTGTGCTGTGCGTGTGAGCTGTGCGTGGGGTGGGCACATGTCTGGACGGTGGTGCTGAGAAGGCCGTGTCCGTGTCAGGAGGAGGCAGTGGGACACGGTGAGGGAGGGGGTCTGGCTGCCTGACCCAGAGAGGGTGGCACCAGCACCCAGGGGCACGTGCCCTGTGGGTCCACAAGACAACACCCCGGAGGGAACAGCAAAGCTCAGGGAGAAGAGCCAACACGGTGCACACAGACCTGCCCTGCGGCAAAGCGCAGGAAACACAGCCAGCACTCACAGGCACACCGGGACACACACACACACACACACACACACACACACACGGCTCCCCCTTTCCTTCTGGGCTCCATCCGGTCTAATCTTTAAACTGACGGGAGACATTAATGGGGGAACAAATTGTACTGCGTTCCTACAGGAAGGGCCCAGGGCGACCTGAGACTCAGCGGGGAGGGACGAGGGTGTGTGTGTGTGTGTGTGTGTGTGTGTGTATGTATGTGTGTATGTGTGTGTATATGTGTGTATTTGTGTGTATGGGTGTGTATGGGTGTGTGTATGTGTGTATGGATGTGTGCGGGTGTGTGTATATGTGTGGATGTATGTGTATGCGTGTGGATGTGTGTATGGATGTGTGTATGTGCGTGAGTATGGGTGTGTGTATGGATGTATGTATGGGTGTGTATGTGTGGGTGTATGTGTGTGTGAGTGTGTGTATGGGCGTGTGTGGGTGTATGGGTGTGTGTGTATGGATGTACGTGTGCGTGTGTGAGCGTGTGCATGTGTGTGTATGTGCGTGTGTGCATGTGTGTGCGTATGGGTGTATGTGTGTGTATGCATGTGTATGCGTGTGTGGTATACATGTGTATGGGTGTCTGAGTGTGTGTATGTGCGTGTGTATGCATGTGTATGTGTGTGTATGCATGTGAGGGTGTGTGGGGGCACCGGGTTGTCAGATGCAGCCTCACACGCAGGCACGGCTCAGAGGAAGGGCTCCTGGGCCGGCCCTGCCTGGGGCGCAGGCGGTGAGGAGAGCGCGGAGCTCCCCAGCCCCTGCGTCTCAGTGGCCTCCGCTCGCAGCCACACAGGCCGGCGAGGCCCTTCACCAGGCACATCACACACACACACACACACACACACACACACACACTAAGGTGACCAGATGTCCCACTTTTGGCGGGACAGCCCGATTTTTAACAATTTGTCCCACGTCCTGTGGCCTTTTAAAAAAGTCTTGATTTTTTAAAAGACTTTTTTTTTTTTTTTTTTTTAAACTTTGCAGAAAGCGGGACAAATTGTTAAAAATCGGGACTGTCCCATCAAAAGTGGGATGTCTGGTTACCTTAACACACACCTACACACACACACACACACACACACACACACTATACAGAGCGAAGGTGCAGAGGCACAGGGACAGCCGTTCATTTACCTGCTGATGTTCACACAAAGTTGACAGAGGATCCCTGAATGCAAAGGTGGGTGGTTATCGTCTCCCAGGTTTGCACCGTGTGTGGATCAAATTACAAAATTCACGTGAACATTTTAAACTGCAAGGCATAGTGCAAATCTTGTGGTAATGGTAGTACCTCAGGACAGAATCAACATCTATGCTAATAATTGCAGAGGTGGCTCACAAGATGGCTGTCACAAGATGGTCCAGTGCAAACAGGAGGCGGGTCCTGGCAGGGGAGGGCATTTGGGGTGATCACGCCGCAGGGGAGGGCAGTTGTGGATGATTGGGCTGGCATGGGGGGCAGTTAATCATCTGTCAAGCCAGCAGGGGAGCAGTTAGGGGGCGATCAGGCTGGCAGGCAGGTGAGCAGTTAGGTCCCCGGATTGTGAGAAGGATGTCCCAGATTGGAGAGGGTGCAGGCTGGGCTGAGGGACAGCCCTAGCCCCTGCATGGGTTTTGTGCACCAGACTCCCATGTTTTCATAGCAGCCTTAGAGAAGCAGCCCGTGGACAAGAGGGCACACTGCAAATGGGGCCGCTGAGGGTGCTGAGCTGTGTCAGGCCGCCTGCTGCTGCTGCTGCGGAGGCCAGCCAGGGCAGGGGGCACCTCGCTGTGGGCCTGGCCACAATCCTGAGGCTCCTAAGAAGATGGAAGACAGTGTAAGGGGGCCCCAAAGAGCTGGGATCCAGGCCTCAGCCTGGCGAGGCTCTTGGAGAGCGGAGGGGAGATGGCCCGAACAGTGGGTGGGAGAGGACTGAGGAGGAGAAGTACAGGGTGTTTGGGGAACCAGAAAGAAAACAACCCCGGAGTCCGTTTCCGAGAAGGAGTCGTGGGAAATCGCTGGGACGAGCTGGCAGCCAGGCCAGGAAGCTGGGGGTGGCAGCCGGCGTGGTGGGGCAGGGGGTGATGTGACAGGCTGGGAGCGGAGCGGGTGAGAGGCCCGCTGTGAGGAGACGCTGAGGCAGCAGCAGGAGCTGGTGAAGGGGTGCAGAGCGGGTAACAAGGTCTCGAAAGGGGCCGTGGTGGGGACGAGAGGAGGGGTGGCTGTAAGGGACATTCTTAGTGTGCAGCCACCAGCACCTAACAACACGACGGCCTCACTGGCGCAGGAGCGTGGCAGTGCGGCGGAGAAGGAAGGGAGCGGAGCTGGCTCCAGAGGTGAGAGCACGGGGCTCAGGTTGGCCGGGAGCACAGGCCTGGCCTTTCCCTTGGCGCCGGGGCCCACGTGCCTTTGCCTCCGCCCGGAACGCAGCGCCAGCCCTGCACACAGCACTGCTCAGTCGTCTCCGTAAATGAGATGTGAGTGTGCCGAACGCCAAAGCACACGCTGGCTGCGCCACCCACGCTGTTGAGACGTGGACACCTCCTCAAGCTCCACAAGCAGAACTGACAGCATCTTCAGAAAAGCTGGGACAATCTTATCGGACCCGGAACCAGGAACACCCGCAGGCATTTCTCACCAAGCAGGGGGCGGCCACACGCGGGCTGGAGATCTATGTGATCGCTGTGCCCACGCTGCTTCCTGCGCCACTCCTCCGGTCTGACCACCTCCTCCCACACACCCGCCCTGCCCTCATCCTGACGTGTGAACGAGCGCAGGGAGCCTGCACCCCCTTCCGAGGCCCCTGCCCCTGCTCACACCCAGCAGCGGTGCATGGCTACTGACGTGTGGGCGGGCCCCCATGCTCACAGAGGCAGAAATGGGTGTCGCCCGGTCAGGGTGCACCTTGTGTAAGAGGGAAAGTGGACGGGGCGGAGTGAGGGAGGGTGTCAGGCCTTTCCTGGCCCTGGCCTCCCATGTCTGGGACCAGGACCCTGGCTGTCCTCCTTGTCCTTCTGGCTCACAGAACTTTCATGGGACAAAGAGAAGAAGCAAGGAACCCCATTCCCTCTTAACCAATGTCCCCCAGTCCTGCTACCCTCAGAGACTGAGTGGGTTCAGAGGGGAGGCTGAGAGCTGAGGGCTGAGCTAAGGCTGGAGAGGGCCAGCGGCCGAGGCTGGACCGGTTCCCGCCCTAAGCTAGGAGGGAGAGCAGCCCCGGGGGGGGGGGGGGAGGGTCGGCCCCTCCCGCTCCCGGTCCAGGTCACAGGTCACCAGGTGTGCCCCCTCCGTGCCCGCTCTGACTGCTCCCTTGACCCCCCCCCCCATCCTGCTCAGCCCTTGTCTGTCTCCTCACCCTCCACCCTCCTTGGGGCCTTCGTCACCCTGTGCTTCCTGTGGCTGCAGGGTCCCCGCGAGCCAGGCCCACGGCCCTTCGGCCGCCATCCCTGCGGGCCCAGCACTAGGCGGTCACCATCACGGCTCGTGAGCTGTCCTCCCCTCCTCCCCCAGCCCTCTGGGCGGCTGTGTGCACACTGTGTCCCTTCAGAACCCACCCCTCTTCAGAGATGAGGCTGTGGGTGATGTGCCGTCAGGAAGAGCGGGCGGGCAAGGGAGCGAACCCTGGCCAAGCCAGCACTTCTGAGAGGGAAGCAGGCCGGGGTGAGGGGACGCTGACCCTCCAGCAGCCTGTGTGACCCAGGGGGCTGCCGTGAAGGAGCCAGAACATCAGAAGGTGCAC